AATGGAATAATCTGGAGTTGAGTACTCGGGAAAACACTTGGAAGGTACCCGAGGTGTTGGCTGAGGTGCTACACCGAAGATCTTCGGTGTTTGAGAGGCCTGCAGGGTTACCTCCGGAGCGTGCGAAGGATCATGCGATAGTGCTTAAGGTGGGAACTTCTCCGATTAATGTACGTCCCTATCGTTACCCTCAGGTCCAGAAGGAGGAAATTGAGAAGTTGGTGGGAGAAATGTTGGCCGCGGGGATTATCCGGGCTAGTGTAAGTCCAAATTCCAGCCCCGTCCTCTTGGTTAAGAAGAAAGATGGGAGTTGGCGTTTTTGTGTTGATTACAGGGCTTTAAATAAGGAAACTGATCCGGATCGTTTCCCTATTCCGATAATTGATGAACTTCTTGATGAGCTTCATGGGGCAGCAATTTTTTTCAAGATTGACCTTAAATCGGGATATCACCATATTCGGGTCAAACTGGAGGACGTGCCGAAAACCGCTTTCCGCACACATGAGGGCCATTACGAGTTTTTGATGATGCCGTTCGGGCTTACAAATGCTCCCGCAACTTTCCAGTCACTCATGAATGAGGTGTTGCGAGCATTCCTTCGAAAGTTTGTCTTAGTTTTCTTCGATGACATACTTGTCTACAGTCGTACTTTGGAGGAGCATGTTCACCACTTGGATAAGGTGTTAAGGGTTTTGCAGCAGAACCATTTATTTGCAAATGCGAAAAGTGTAGTTTTGGCCAGCAGTCCTTGGAGTATTTGGGGCACATTGTCTCGGGCAAGGGCGTGTCAGCGGACCCGGCTAAGATTGAGGCAATGCAAAATTGGCCAACCCCGACCTCGGTGCGTGACTTGCGGGGATTTTTGGGATTGACAAGGTATTACCGTAAGTTTGTCGCAGGGTACAGTCACATCGCATGGCCCCTAACTAATTCGCTTCGGAAGGATGGGTTTCAGTGGACGGAGGGAGCTGCACAGGCCTTTTCTGATTTGAAACGCGCTATGACGACCGTGCCAGTTTTAGCTCTTCCTGATTTCACGAAACCATTTGTGTTAGAAACTGATGCTTCGGGGTTTGGAGTGGGAGCAGTGTTGATGCAGAACCAACAACCTATTGCATATTTTAGCCAAGCTTTATCTTTGCGGGCTCAAGGGAAATTGGTGTATGAGAGAGAATTAATGGCCATTGTTTTGGCGGTGCAAAAATGGCGGCCTTATTTGCTTGGCCGACACTTTGTGATTCGTACTGACCAGCGCAGTCTTAAGTATTTGCTGGAACAACGCCTTGTTAGCGTGGAGCACCAAAAGTGGCTTACGAAGTTGATGGGGTGTGATTTTGAAATTCAGTTCAAACCGGGGCAGGAAAATCGCGCTGCAGATGCTCTTTCCCGTATTGTCTACTCGCCCGGGCTGAGTGCCCTGTTGGTCTCTTCCATTGTTGACACGCAAGAGCTGCAGCAACAGGTGTTGCAGGACGAGAAGCTCAGCCGGATTGTTTCTGTGTTACAGCTTCAGTCCGACGCTTATCCTGGATTTTCTTTTTAGCAGGGGCGGTTGTTGTTTGAAGGCAAAATGGTAGTGCCCCGGGGTTCATCTTTCATTCCTAAACTGCTTCATTCTTACCATGATGGGGTTCTTGGAGGCCATTCAGGTGTCCTTAAGACTTATCGACGTTTGGCAACTGATTGGTTTTGGTCGGGAGTGAAGAAGGATGTAATTTCGTATGTGGCCGCATGTGATGTTTGCCAGCGTTGCAAAGCTTCTACATTAGCACCTAGTGGCCTGTTACAGCCTTTGCCCATTCCCGAACGGGTGTGGGAGGATATTTCAATGGATTTTATTGAGGGATTGCCTCGTTCGGAGGGATTCGATACCGTTTTGGTGGTTGTTGACAGGCTTAGCAAATATGGACACTTCATTGCCCTAAAACATCCTTTCACGGCTGAATCAGTAGCTAAGTGTTTCATACGAGAGGTTGTTCGTCTCCATGGAGTTCCGCGTACCATTGTGACCAATCGTGACCGAATATTTCTGAGTCATTTTTGGACCGAACTTCACAAGCAGATGGGGACTACTCTCGCGCACAACACCGCTTACCATCCACAGACGGATGGTCAAACGGAGGTCGTTAGTGTCGAAACCTATTTGCGCTGCTTTACATCGGAGACCGGGCAAATGGTATAAGTGGTTGGCTTGGTCGGAATATTGGTATAATACCTCGTTTCATACCGCAGCCCGTACTACTTCGTTCCAGGTGGTCTTTGGCCGTGCTCCACCTCCGTTGCTGCGCTACGGTATCGGAACGTCTCCAGTGGACTCGGTGGATCAGCAATTACAAGACAGGGATGCCATGTTGGACTTGCTCAAGTCTCATTTGCTTCGCGCTCAACAGCACATGAAGTCAGTGGTTGATGGAAAACGCCGAGATGTGCAGTATGAGGTTGGTGATTTAGCGTACCTTAAGTTGCGTCCCTACCGACAGGTGTCTTTGGCTCGTCGCCGCAATGAGAAGTTAAGTCCACGTTTCTATGGTCCTTTTGCTATCACTGCCCGCGTTGGACCTGTAGCTTACCGACTTGTCCTGCTGGAGGAGGCTGCCATTCATCCGGTATTTCACGTTTCCCAGCTGCGCCGCGCGATTGGCAATGGTCAAGTTGCGTCTACAATTCCACCTCAGTTAACTGGTGATTTGGAGTTGTGCGGCACACCAGCGGCTTTACTGGGCGTGCGCCAGCGTGTGGTAGGGGGTCATTCCGAGTCTGAGGTTTTAATCCGTTGCGAGCATCTTCCGGCGCATGATGCGACTTGGGAATCCTATGAGGCCATCGATCGCCAGTTCCCTGATTTCCACCTTGAGGACAAGGTGCGTCTTTGGGGCGGGAGTAATGATAAGCCTCCTTTGCGTTTTACCTATGTGCGGAGGAAAACTCGTGAGAGGATTGTGGCTGGTACAGGGGAGGACAGTGGAGGCGCGAGTCAGGGAGGTAATCTGGGCAGGGTGATGAGCTGGCAAGCCAAGGGCGGTTATGTAGGAGATAGTTAGTAATTAGTCGGTTAGGCTGTGTGTAAGGGGGGAAGTTAGAGGGAAAGTTAGTTACTGGAATAAGGGAGTATAAATAGTTAGATAATACCTGGGAGGAAATTCATTCATTCATACTTTGAACTTCTGAGACAAGTTTAGATTTGGGAGTGCAAGGGGTCACTCGAACACCCCCATACCTAGGTTCAGATTCTGTAACTTTTCTGCCATTAATTCAGTAATTGAGCTTGCGATTCGGCTCGTTGTGCATAATTCTGGTGTTGATTGTCTTGAATTGTTCTATATTTCTCTACGTGCTTATCAATATAATATTGATTGCATCATCAATCGCCAGTTCCTCAATACACAGTTACTGGATTTTTAGTCGAACTTTAGTTACTTCAAGAATTGACTTCGACCTTTAGGAGATGTCTCAAATCGTAATCATTGATATGTCTCTGTTCTTTTAAATTAAACCAGTTTACCATAGATGGCTGAGGCTCGAGGGCTTAGTAAAGAGGTGGCAAGAAAAAACCTTGTAGCTGTAGTAGATTCTTCTGAATGATGACCTTGTAGCTGTAGTAGATTCTTCTGAATGATGTTAGACACTATTGATTAAAGTTCTGGTTTCTTGTTTCAGCATCGGTTGTGAGCAAACGGAAGAGATATGACTTTCTTTCAGGTATCTTCTATGCTTCCTCTCAATATCTGCCACTTCTACTTCATGTAAAATATTAGGAACATCTTTTCAACAGGTTTACGAATTACGCTCTCTTTGGCTCTGCCAAATAATGTGTGCAGATTTTGTGCCTGAGAAAGTGAGAGCTGAGGATGCATTAGCAGAAAGAAAATTAATGGAGCGAGAAACAGCTTTGTAACTCGAAAACATAGTAATGAGATGATATGGAAGCATACCCGTCTTCACATTTTCACATGTTCAGCTCCACGTGCTGTTTGTTATCTTCCCCTACCGAACACAGGAAGCATCGATTCATGGTCCAGTTTTGCAGTGGGACTACGTAAGTATCATGGTTAAAAGATGGAACGTGATTTGCCATATGATGAGCGTATGGATCTCACTTCCAATGACGGGAGCTGGTGAAGTATCTTACGTAGTGCAGATTTGTTGAACCTTCATTAAAAAACCGGCTATGTTATCTTGTTAGCTATCCAGTGATTAGGATTTTGTACGATTACTGAGTTCCTCTTGTAAAATTTTTTGAAACTTTGCAGGAAGGAAATGAATTCATTGCAAGTACACTTTTGAAAGAACGACTTCTTGTGCCTTCTGTGGTGTTTGTGTTGTTTCTTTTGGGGTGATGATGTAGAAAGATGCAAGTTTGGAATAAGTTCGAAGATGCCATCTAAGTCGATAGAGAGCATCCTATTAAAGCTAAATATATTTGCCAAAGTAAGATTACAGATAAAGCAGCACAAATACATAATACCTCTTTAACAAATGAGATGTTTTGATTCAAGTTTTTCGTTTTTATTCTGCTTTTATCATCAGCTCTTAAACGGGAGGAATTGAGACAAATATTCTTTAAAGTGCATGTGTCCGGACTTTTACCTTTTTACTCTTGATTAATATCCATTTTCGTCATACAACCATATTAGTTGAAAGAGTACTAATCAGAGTATGAGTAAAAATTCAGATCATGCATTATAAGGTAAGTACAGCAATTTTTCTCAATAATAATCTTCAATTCTCTGCATTAATTTTAGGATGCAATAGAAATGTACATGGCATCATCCATAGGAACATAAGTTCCTCGGTCACTTCGATTGCAAGTAGTGATCTTACCTCGCAAAACTGTCAGTATCAATCCAAATCTTTAATCTTATGGTAGCTCTTCCATTCGTGTCGAGCAAATTATAACGCGCATCTTTTCTCTTCTATTTATTAAAAAAAGAAACTATTTACTCCCTTTTTTCGCGCCCATAGAACACCCACTTGAGAAGAAGTACTTGTGTTTTCATTCCCCGCTTTTCCACGCAAACTAATCACTATATAGCCAAGCATAAATTTCCCTTTCTGTCTCTCTCAGTTCGCTGCTCACCTTCCCAAACACAGTCGACAGGTTATGTAACTACGAGATTTTCATTATTATTATTATTATTATTTTTTGTGACTACGAGATAGTTTTCATAACTAACATAATTTGTTCTCTAAATTTCATCTAAATTATTCACTCCCACCACTTATAAAACCCCCCTCCTCCTCCCTTCCATCTCCATGCAACTATCAAACACTTGCTAAAACCAAATTCTTTGTAGCCTGAACATTCCAAGCCTTTTTGCACACACAAACCATAACCAATATACATACGCTAGATATAAAACATGAAGAGACAAGCACTCATCTCACTTTCCTTCCTACTTTTCTTCTTCTACCACAGCACCGGTATATCTTTAGCCCAGTCTCCTGCCCAAGCGCCATCGAAAAGTGAAGCTCAAGCCCCGACTAAAGCTCAAACCCCCGCTAAAGCACCGACGTCGACTCCAGCAGTCGAACCCCCGTCCGAAGTACCACTTGTTCAAGCCCCACCACACAAAGCCCTGGCCGGACCAACCGATGTCTCCAAAGTCCTCGAAAAAGCAGGCGGCTTCAGCGTCTTCATCCGCCTCCTGAAGAGCACATCCGTTAGCATTCAGATCGAAAATCAGCTCAACGTCTCCAACACCTTGACCATCTTCGCACCAACAAACGGCGCGTTCTCCGCTCTCAAACCCGGCACTCTCAACTCCCTCTCAACCGAGCAAAAAGTCCAGCTTGTGCAATACCACATTCTCCCATCTCTCGTGTCCCTCCAAAATTTCCAAACTCTGAGCAACCCTGTAAGGACACAAGCCAGCAATATCTATGACTTCCCACTCAACATTACAGTTGAAGGCAGTTGGGTAAACATGTCGACCGGAATTGTGAACACCACGATTTCAGGGACGGTTTATGAAGACAATCAGCTGGCTATTTACAAGGTTGATAAAGTGCTTCTTCCTCTTGGCATTTTCGCTCCGAAACCAAAGCCATTGGCGCCGGCACCAACGCCAGTCCTGAAGCCCAAGAAGGAGACTAATTCTTCATCTTTGTCTTCGTCGGACGATTCGGACAGCCCGGCGGCGGTGTCGGATACTGCTTCTACGGCCTTCAGTCTGGCCGGAAATGGCATGGCCGAGAGGATTGGAGTTTTTGTGGTTGGGACGATTTTCATTTTGGTCTCAATTTGAATTGGGGTGTGAAAGTGATCGACAAGAATTGTAGTACGTTGTCCTGAGTTCTCTCGAGTTGTTTGGATTGATGATCGTTGCTCGTGTGTTACACTATTTATTTAGTAAGACGGTCGATCCCGTTTGTGATGTATTTATCTTTGAAAGTGAATTGAATTAATTTCTTTGGCTGTGAAAAAAGAAAATGTGCATTATAAAAAACTAAAATCTCAGAGAGGACGACCACAGTGGGAGTCGAACCCACGACCTTTTGATCCGAAGTCAAACGCGCTAATCCACTGCGCTATGCGGTCCTGTTCGTGAAACGATATCATTTTATAAATCTTATAATTATATTAAGATCCACTACCTGGTGCTTATGTGACGAAGTTTAGGGCCGGTAATATGGGCCACGACACGAATTTTACGGGTTAGGGTTGAGAAAAAAGAGGTTCATGTCAGAATTGGGTTGACATGAAATTGACACGAAAAATACGGGTCAATTTCGGGTTGGACCTGCCTAACCTGAACACGACACGAAACTCATAAAAAACTAAAAAATACATATATTTTTCATTTCATATTTTAAATTTTATTATGTACTTGTGATATCATGATAGTTATACTTAAAATCTTATACTATTATTTACTTAATTTCAATGGATGTTATTGTAATTTAGTGTGTTATGAATTTTAAGTTATTTCTAATATGTAAAAAACTAAATAAAAGTATACAATTTTCGTGTTAATTTTGAATTCACAGGTCAATTTCGTGTCACGGGTCATTTTCAGGTCGTGTCGTGTCAACTCGTAAAGTGATCGTGTCATGTTCGTGTTGCGATTTTTAAAAAATTTCGTGTCACGGGTCGTGTTTGGGTTGACTGCAAATTTAAAAAGAAACTATCAAAACACGACACGAACACGACACGTGATACGAATTACTACCCCTATAACGAACTGTCATAACCTAAATGTTGTCACTATTTTTTCTTTTGCTTCCCTATTAATCATTACCCTTATTCCTTGTATATTTGATGTTTATAATAGTAATCTTCAAAATAAATAACGATGCTCGACATCACATCGTAGTGCTCGATATTACATTTTACGTAAAATAAATTTATATATAAAGGGCATTTTAACAAGATTTTAAAAATAGATCAAATTTGTTAACTCATACAAAGGGTAAATCATTTTAAAGAAAAGAAGAAATTGGAATTACACTACATATGTGGCAGCAATAGGGAAATTTTAGATTCTTGGCATCCGGAAAGATAATAAAAACAACGAAAATAGTAAAAAATAGACCAATATGAAAAGCTTAAGAAAGTATATAGGC